ACCTCTCTGTGCCTCGAGATGCTCATCTGTGGAGTGCGGAGGGTGAAACCAACAGTAATGGTCCCACAGGAGTGCTATGAAGACGGAGGTGACAGGTGCAAGTGACTGAAACACAGCAAGTGCCACCTGCGTGCTGCTCTTATTAGCCTGGCCTGGGGCATTATTAGTCTGTGCGCAGCTGTCCCTTCAAAATAGGCCATGGTGTGGAGGAAGGGGCACCTGCTTGACCTTTCCCAGGAACCCCTCTTATTCCTGTCCTCAGGACATCTGGAATGGGATTGAATGCTCAAATGCTTTGTCATTTTCTCCTGAACACATGTCTTTCTTCTCCCTGTCCAACTCTGCTGCATTCCCAAGATGCAAGGCGTAAAGTTCATAAGGAACTTGTCATAGCACAGAGAAGGAAACTGGGGCCTAATGTGAACAAGTCCCAAGAGTCATCGGCTACTCCAGAACAGGACCAGGCACTCTATCATCTTCAGGCAAGATAATCCCTTGACCTTCCCACCTTAGAAATGGAGAACCCTAGGCTCAAAGAGGAAAAATAATTGACAGCTAGTATTGGAGCTTTGGAAAGGTATTAAAGGGCAGAGTGAAGAAGACCTGGGTACTATGGAGTCTAAACTAAACCAAAATCCCACCTCTGTTCTATCTCAGCTGTTTGACCTCAAGTGAGCTGCTTAACTTCTCTGGACTTTAGTTGCCTCATCTATAAAATGGTCATAAGTAGAAGCTACCTGGGAGGTATTTCAATGTTAGCATTCTGTCCATGGCCCAGTGAGCTCCCCTCTTCAGCTTTCCCCTCCTCCCACCCTGTGTCCTCAAGAGCACATCCCTATGCACACCAGGGAGGCATGGGGGGGTGCATCCCTCTGCTCCAGACTCCCCACTCCTCCTCCCAGTAACAAGTGGCTTCTGTGTTTTGGATGGATGGAGGGAGGAATGGAGGGAGGGATGGAGGGAGGGAGAAATGGAGAGATGGATGGATCCCGGCTCTCAGTTGGGAGCCCAGTGTTGCTCTTGAGTCATTTCTCCAGCAGCATCCTCTGTGGCTGTCATGGTGATAAGCACTTCCCAGAGCTTCCAAGACCGCCTCTTTTCTGTCCTCTCCCTTTTTTTTTTTCTTGCCACTGTGCTTCTCAAGATGCCCAGCCCCAGCCCAACCTGACTCTGAGAGCATTGCTTCTGCATTTCCATGGGCTCCCCCAACACCACCTCAGGGCCCCGCCTCCCCCACCCACCCAGTTTCTATTTAGCCCCAGGCTCTGATGGCTTCTAGTGGTTTCTCTTGGCCTGGATTCATGCCTGGTGTAACAAGTCTGGTGTGGCTGCACTCCTCCCACATTGGTCAGGGAGGAAGTAAATGTGTGCAAAGGGGGGTTACTGGGGAGTGGGGTGCCACCAGCCCAGGTGCCAAACCAAATAGCTTATGTGCCGTATGTGCCACATCCAACTCAGTACATGGGCCCTGGAATGCAGGCTGGCTGCCCCTGCCCCACACCCCACCCCCATACTAGACTCCCCATACCTACTTCCTGTTCCTTCTGTCTGGCTCTAGCCAGCAGAAGATAGGACCATCCGCAGGGCTCAGCCATGCCAGGCTCCAGAACAGAGATGCCCCCATGTGGAGGTGTCAGGGGACATGAGCTCTGCTGTACACCTTCTCTGCTCTAAAGAGGTCAGCCCAAACAATGGGAGAGCACGGAAAGGGATGTGGCTCTGTGCCTCACCGATGTGCCAGCTCCCAATGCCAGGCAGGACATTGCAGTTTGCTCCTGCTCTGGGGAAGGAGGAGGGCCCTGAGTGGTGGTCATCAAAGGAAGGTCTCCTTCACGGTCTTTGAAACCCCACAGCTGAAGTACACCTGTCTATACCACAACAACTCTACCTTGGATAGCCCCGAAACCTTCCTGCTGATCTCCTCATCTGCTAGCACTTAAGGAAGGAGATGAGGAAGAAGCCACATGGGTGATGTAACATACGGAGCTGACAACAGGTCTGTGGGTACTGGCCTCAGCTGTCTTCTCAGCCTGGTCTTACTGCGGCTATCTGACATGGTGAGGAATGAATTTGGTGGGGAGCACCGCCCTTTGATGTCTGGTGGCTAGGATATCTTTCCTTGACTCCTTCACTTTCCAAAAGCTCGGGATGTAAATGTCTACCGTTCTGAGTCCTCGAATTGGGTACTTCCTCCTCACCTTTTCCCCCACCCCTGCACACATACATGCACACACACATGCTCGTTAGTGTGCGCATGCATATATATGCATGATTTCACACACACACACACACCTTCACCCTGCAGACAGAATAAAGAACCTCCGGTTTGTCTAGGAGAGCAGTCACCTTGGTTTCCCCGAGCTCTCGCTGTGTTCAACATTTATCCATCACATTCTGCATGAGTTCTACCACATCCAGGCTCATGGTGTCCAGATCTCCTTCTACCGAGATGTCAAAGACAGAGAGCTGGGTTCAGTGTGATTTCTCCCCTTCCCCTGCTCCCACGGTCAGCGAATGCCTATGTCAGTCACAACAGAAGGCCCTGTTCCTGTCTCTCCTGTACCTTGAACTCATCTCATGCCATGCCCCTGAGGTGAGTAGGTGCCAACACAGACATGGTTGTATGTTTAAGGAAAAATGGGATGGAGGTTGAGTAACCTCAGGGAGTCTACAAAGGAACTGAGGTGTGATTGTAAAGGAGTCTGCCTCCTGAGTGCTGAAGTTCCCAGAGCCCATAAGCTTCTCCCTTCACTGCTGCACCTGCCTGCCCACTGGCCACCGTCACTCTCAGCACCTAGCTTTCATCCCACCTCTTCAATCCCATCACTGCTGCCGAAATGGGACTTTTCAAAAGCACAAACTTGCCCATTGCTGTCCTGTTGAAAGTCCTTCCAAGGCTCCCTTCTATCTTCATCATGGAATCCAAACCCTTAACAAGCTCACTGCCACTTACCTGTCAGAGAACATAATTTGCTAATTCCAGATCTTTCTCTATCTACTTCTGCCCTTCTTACCAGTCACACATGTGCACGAGCACACACACACACACACACACACACACACACACACATACACACACAGTTCAGCCAGACTCCCTGGGGCTCACTAAGTTTCTTCCCCTTTTCCCTCTCTACCTTAACTCCCTCTGGTCCCTCTGCCCATCACATCCTTCCCTGCTTCTTCGCATGACTGAGATTTCCTGATCCTTCAAAACCTAATACAAATTTTACAGATTAGTACAGCCTCAGAAGCAGTTTGAAATAAATGAACCGATGGTTAGACGAACACCATCACGGCTGTGCAGGGCCTTCTGTGTCTCCATCCCTACCAAATGGGTCCAACATGTTCTTTTCAGGAAAGCCCGTGGAGGGGGCCAGGGTAAGAGTGTGATCCCCACTTTGAAGAGGAATAAACTGAGGCATGTAGTCAGGACCAGAGGCACGGTCTGAAGCCAAGTTTTGCCTGGCAGGTTGGCACTTGGCACTCTCATGGTTATAAGAAACAAGACCCACACATCTGCCTTGGGTTCTGCCTTCATATGCCTAAACAGAGGGTGCAGTGGGGCTGGGCAAATGTTCCAGTCCTGCAAACCAGGGATCAGCCCACTCTCAGAAAGCATTAAAGAACTGCCCATCTAACTAAAAGTGCCAGGCCTGCTCTGAAAACAGAGCCTTCAGCGAAAGGTGTGACTCACCTTTTATTTTTAATTAATGATTTAACTTCAAAATAAGTCCAAGTTTTTCCTATGAGTCTGTTTGATGCTTTGATTGAAATGTCAACCCTCCCCCTCCCCACTCCATCCACCACCTCTTATTTTTGGCTCTCTCAGCCCTTTGCTAGTGCCCTAAGCAAATGTTTAGTCTGCCTGCAAGACAGCATGCACAGGCATTCCTGGCTTTCATCTACTGACCTCGGCCTCCCAGGGCATACTGCCTACCTATCCTGCTAAATGAGGGAGAGGCTGCTGGGGCCAGAGACCTAGACACTTTGGGGTGGAGGGCAGACAGATGACAGAATGAGGGAAGGCAGGTTCTACCATCCAGGCCACTCAGGCAGCCAGAGAGGAAAGCCAAAACAGTGGTGGCTGTGACTAGGTGGCCAGGGACCTTCTACTTAAAGGTAGAATCCAGCAAAAAGCCTCTTTCCCTATCTCCCTCCTTCTGCTCAAGGACAATCAAAACAGGTTAAGACTGTATGACTGGCAGCACCACAGCAGAACCTACAGCCAAGGACACTGCAAGCCTTGTCCTATATACTCACGACATATGCCTCAGTCTCTACAAGGTTAAATTTCATGCCTACCTGAGTCCTACCTTTCAACTGTGATTTTTCCCAAAGTACTTATTCACCTATTGGTTGGATATAGATACAACCAAAAATTCAACTGGCTTCCATAAGCAGGTGACAGGTACCATGCTCCAGCCCTGCGCTGGGCACAGCATGCAAACAACCCAATATGTAGTCAGGGCCAGCTTCCCTCACCCTAGAACCTGTACCCACTTCCATGGACAGGCTTAGCCCTGCTGCCATGATTCCCCTGCTGAGGAAAAGAAGGACTATGGGGCTTCTTGGAAGGTGGGCTTTATCCTGGGTGGCCCAGAGTCTAAGATCACAGTCCCCTCTCCCTGCTAAGTAGGGAAGTAGGTGTTTGAACCTGGCTTCCCTCCTCCTCCTGAGCCCCAGGGTAGAATCCAGCTAAGGGGAGGAGACAGCCCCTTCTGGTGCTTCTTTGGGACAGTAGTCTCCACCCCATATCCCAGCTCCCATTGGCAGACTGCCAGTAGCCTCAGGAATTCTGCCCTGGTGGCCCTACCTAGGGAGGTTCCACGTCCAAAGTCCTGCAAGCACACAAGTGCCATGGATACACACTTATGACAACAAACCCCTCAAGGAACCAAAGCCAGGGGCACCGCCTTCACTAGCAAATGGGCCGAAGAAGAAGGGAAAGTAAGGCAGGGGTTGTGCCCTGAACCCAGGAAGGTGGGAGCTCAGTGACTCACAGTGACTGCAGCCTGGGCAGATCCCACAGCGCCTCTGCTGGGATCCCTTGGAGCTGGTTGCTCTGCAGCATCCTGAAGGAGAGAGAGGTCTGTAAGAGTCAGTGGGTTAGGCTCCTCCTTTGAAACTCCCTCTTCTACTTCAGAGCCCAGAGTTTGAGGTGTAGCCTCCTGTCCTGTTAGTGGGAACTAACTGGGGCATGGTTGAAGAACACAGGGGATTGGAAGGCCCAGTGTATAGAGAGGTGCCTCAGGAGGGCTTGTAAGACAAGGCAGGAGGAAACGGGGTGACAAAGAGGAGAGGCGTAGACATTTAATCCAACTTGGGAGGCAGAGAGAAGTTCAAGGACAGCCTGGGGTATTCACTGAGTTCCAGGCTAGCCTGAGCTACAGTGGAAAAGAGAAAGGTGGGATTCTGCTGAATTTTACCCAGGATGTATTTTGGTTTTACTTCCCAGGCCTTAGTTTCCCTGTCTATTCAGCTGAGAGGCTAAGGATTTCTTTGTGAGAGAGGAAGATGTGAGTGAAAGTAAGAAGACTGAAGACTGTCCCTCAAGTATCAGGGCATCTCAAAAATATGACTTCTGGAGTCCTTTTCTACAGAAGCAATTTGAAGTCCCCCCCGTCCCCACTCCTACCCCCCATCAATCATCAACCTATTGTAGCGGCTTAATCTCACATAAGCACACACTAAGTAGCTGCTTCTGAGGCTGCCAGCCTAGAACTAAGCCAGCCACAAAACCCAGGAGGGCAGCACAGACAGAAGCCACAAAGCTTCTGGGGATCTGGAAACCCTGTATGCAGGAAAGGTGGTCAGAGAGCACACACCAGGGACCAACAGAAAGATGAGCACCTTTAGAAGTGGGTACTGCTGAGTCCAGGAGAATCCAGGCATAACAGGGGCCTTAGGTAAGCTGGGCAGGGTACCTTAAAGTGCAGGGAGCCTCCCCAAGCAACATGCTTAGTTCTAAGGAAGACACTGAGTGCAGAAATGGAAAGAAGAAAAATTAAATAAATACATTTAAAGAAATAGTCTGGAGAGATGGCTCAGTGGAAGTGACTAATATATATATATATATATATATATATATATATATATATATATATATATATATATATATATATATATATATATATATACACATACCAAGGAGGCCCTTGGACAGCCATTATCACCAGAACAGTGTGTGTACTGTGGTGTGGTGTGGTGTGGTGTGGTGTGGTGTGGTGTGGTGTGGTGTGTGTGTATGTGTGTGTGTGTGTATGCATGCTCATGTACATGTGTGCTTACGCAGGTGGGGGCTAAAGGACCTCTTCAGGTGTCATTCCTTAGGAGCCTCCCACCTTGTTTTCTGAGACAGGGTCTCCCACGGTCCTAGAGCTCACCAGTAGACTAAGATGGCCAGCTAGAAAGCCCCAGGGATTCACTAGTTCTACCTCCCCAGAGCTGGGGTTGCCTCAGCGTGGGGCTTTCTTCTTTAGGAATTTAATCAAATCTTTCCTGCCCCGTGGGCTTTCTTTATCTCCAGGCTCAAGATCCAGACATGAGAGGAGGAGGGCACAGGACAAACTTAGGAAACAGGAAGGGAGCAGAAAGGAAGGATGCCCTGACCACTCACACATGCAGAGGAACTGAGCCCTCCCTCCCAGGCTGCCTTAGCTCTTCATCACAGGAATGGCCCTGAGTATTTGTACATCTGCCTCAACAGCTGGCCAGGCTCCCAGGATGCAACGGAGAGTGAGCACCTGTTGTGTGCTTGGTATTGTCCACACTGAGGGCTTCAGGCTTCCCTTTTGTAGTATATCACCAGCCAACCCATTGCTCAGAGCAGGAGACTGAGGCTGAGAGGCTAAGCCCCTTCCCAAGGACTGCTCAGGTGCTGCCAGACTTCAGGAAGAGCAGCCTACCTTCTGACCTAGCAGCAACAGTGACTGGGCCAGAGGTGGCTCGTAGGGCTCCATGGGTGCCTAATGAGATCATTGTTACCTATGTCACAAGGCAGGTAAGTGATAGGACTGGGTTTGGGCACCAGTGAGTTAAACTGCAATCTGGACAGGAGACAGCAGGGCCAGAAAAGATGGAGGGGCCTAAGGATGAGCCTGCTGGCTATAGGCGCCTAATGTGTGTCCACTCTGACCACTGAGGCCTCTCCTCACTGCTGGCCTCTTCTTAGGGATACAGGAAAAGTCCCAGCTGGAAAACAAAGTACAAACCAGGGAGCAGGAGCCAGGGCAGGTGTGGGGTGGTCTGTGAGAGGACCATCCCACGGGAGCAGAACCAAAGGGAAGCAAAGGTGGGCACTGGGACCCCTGGGATCAGGGTCTAGACATCTTGAGAGGAAAGACAGGTTGCAGGTGCAGGCTCTGAGAAGCTGAAGGGCCCTTATGCACACTCTAATGTGGAAGTTATCTTAGCCTCCTACCACTCCCATCCAGACCAACAGAGCATCAAGGAGAGCTTTCTGATGACAGTACTTTGCTTCTCGGGTGGAATTTAAACTTGCATCTCCTCAACTTACTTAAAAATACCGTGTCCCATGTCTGAAGTTACATTGCCTGGATCCCGTCCTAAGCTCTGCCCTTCTTCAGCTTTGTGGCTATGTAAGTGCTTAAACCTCAGGGCCCATTCCGTGAACTTGTGACGATGGCTCTGTTTGTTGGTTGCACGTCACAAATAAAGTAGTCCCTGCAGGGCACTTACTTACAGCAGTGTTGTGCACACAGATGGAACTTACAGCACCCTCACCAATATGATCAATAATTGGCATACTGTACACCTTCCTGGTTGCTTAAGGAAGTCACTTCCTCTCTGAGCTTCAGTTCTCTCTTCATTCAAGGGAAGAGACTTTCAGAAGACATATAAGACTTTGCTCAGAAGGGCTGGTGATATTGGCAGAGAACTTGTCTAGCATGCCCAAGGCTATGAGCTCCCTCCCCAGTGATCCAAGTGCCAGTGGTGATGATGGTGGTGGTGGTGGTGGTGATGATGATGATGAAGACAATGACAACAGTGGTGATAGAGGAGATGTAACTCAAGTAGTAAGCTCGTGCCTAGCACATGTCAGTGATGCAGACTCACACAACCACACAAAAGAAATAATAAGTCAGCCAGCTGCAATCAGACAGCTCAGCTGCTCTCCTGAACCTGGGGCCCAGTCATCAAGCCTAAAGATGGCCCCACAGCAGAGCACTAGAGCTCCTGAAAAACCTCTGCTCTGAGCACGAGGTGTCAACCACTGTCTGGTTGCCTACTGTGATGCTTCTATCCCTCGGACCTCCCGACTTCTAGGCTGTGATCGTCTCTCTACTCCGATCTCTGCCAACCACCTTGCTGCTCGTGATTTCCGCACAAAACCACAGCATGCTTGGACCAAGGATGCGTGAGAAACTATGGTGAGGTAAGCAGTGGTCACTGCTTATGCTCCCTCCAAGGTCCCCAAAGCCGTACCTGGTCACTGCACGAGTGAGCTGCACCTCCAAGGGGCATCTCTAAAGCATCTACCTGCACTGACATCATCTCCTACTCACATCTTTCTGCTGAGTCGCAGACAGTGAGATCTACAAAGATCTTTTTTATTCGTGTGTGTGCAGGAGGCACGTACGTGTGTGTGTGTGTGTGTGTGTGTGTGTGTGTGTGCATACGTATGGAGGTCAGAGGAAAAGCCCCAGGAGTTGGTAAGAACCAACTCACCCTTCACCACGTGGATCCTGGAGATGCCTCTACTCACTGAGCCATCTCACTGGCCCTAGGAAGGTCTTTAAAGTCTCCATGTTGTGCCTCCATAGCACAGAGTCTGCACGGAGCACCTCTGCAAGGCATTTAACTCTCCTTCTGTCCAGTGTCAGGGAGCTCAGCTTCTCCCCAACAGCTCCAGCTGGGCCTTCTTTCATGAACCAATACCCAGCAAGCTGGAGTGTGGTCACTGGTGTTGGGCCTGACCTGCTTCCCTGGCTGTTCCCAGCCTCCTTTCCCAGCACTACTGCGTGGAAACACAGTTGGGGTAGAAAGGGTGGAAAGACTGTCAGAAGGGAGCAACCCTTTATTCTCCATGGTGAGGCAATGGAAGTGATTTTCTCATTACTTAATGAAAACATAGGGACAGGCCCCAAGGCCCACTCCAGGCCAGCGCTTTATGCCCTCTTTGTGCCAAGCTGAGCTTGGCAAAGTGGGTTTAACCCTTTGCCCTCAGCCCGAGATGCACATTAGAATCACCTTGGAAACGCTCAGGTCTCAGGAGAGCCCACTTATGCCTCTGAAGCTGTCTCTGGTGTAAAAGATGATACTTTATTAATTTTCAAGCTCCAGGTTGAGTCCAATGTGCAAACAGGTGTCTGGTCCTCAGCAACCACACACACACACACACACACACACACACACACACACACACACACACACCAACTGATTGATGTACAAAGAATGTGCTCAGAATATTTCTCTTGCCAGAGAGGCATCTGGGGACAGAAACCATGAATTTCAAAGACCCAGGGGGCAGGCAGCAGAGACCCAACCCCTAACTCAGTGTTTTCCGAAAAACTCTTCTGGGGAATCTGGTGCCTTGGGGTTTCTTGGGTAGATGAGTGGGACAGGGTCTGAAGCTCACCCTCCCTCTGCACCCGTAAAAAGTCCTCCTTCATCAGTTTTATTATGCACATTTCTGTTTACAGTGAGTTTCTGTTTTGTTTCTGTCGTGCTGGGGGTGGAACCCAATACCTTGGGCATGCTAGGCACGTACTCTGCTACTGAGGTTTTAAATGTATGTGAGTGTTTCGCCTACATGATCTGTGCACCATGTACATGCCTGATACCCGAGGAGACCAGAAGACGATATTGTAGCTGCTGAAACTGAATTTAAGGATGGTTGTGAACCACCATGTGAGTGCTAGAAACTGAGTCTTGATCCTCTGCAAGAAGAGCATGTGCTCTTAACCTCTGAGCCATCTCTCCGGGGAGAGAGAGAGAGACAGAGAGAGAGAGAGACAGAGAGAGAGAGAGAGAGATTTTATATGTGCCCCAGCTGGGAGTACAGGCACCATTATCACTGGCCAGTGTTTGGGGTCTGGGTTTTAATTCTGCAACTAAAACTATTGAGGAATCCATTCCAACTCCCTATTTTTTTTTAAGTTTTATTTCTTTATTATATATACAATGCTTTGTCTGCATGTACACCTGCACACCAGAAGACGGCACCAGATCTCATTATAGATGATTGTGAGCCACCATGTGGTTGCTGGGAACTGAACTCAGGATCTTTGGAAGAACAGCCAGCACTCTTAACCTCTGAGCCATCTCTCCAGCCCCCAACTCCCTATTTTAAAAGGAAGAAAATTAAGTATTTGGAGAGTAGAAATCTAGACATTTTCCCTGCTGCCTCCTTGTCCCCTTCCTCACCCCCCACCTCTCTGCTGCCACCTTTCTGGTGAGGCCTTGAGTCTGGCCTGAAGTCTCTCTGCTGCCAAGAGCCCTGCTTGCTGCCATCCTGTCCCTCGGGAGGGTGGAGCTGGACCTCCTGCTGAAGAACAGCTTAGAAGATCTCCTAGGGTTCCTTGCAGCTTTCTCACGAGCCAGGCTGGTAATCTCATTGCTTCCAGGCAATGTGAGTCCCTCCCAGGTCAGTTCCATTCAATTCATCAAGTGCAAAGGGAGCGGACGCTGTCAGCATTGACCTGAGATAGCCCATGCGGTGTGGAGAGGGACATAGCTGCTGCTGCTCTTGGGCTGGCCTGAGATCTAACTCCTTGGCGCTCCTCTCTGCCCCCAGCCAAGCCTTTAGACTGGATGGACCAAGATGAGAAGCAGTGAACAGCTTCTATAACTTAGTCTCTGCTAAGGGCACTGGCTGGGAATCCTCAGCCACAAACTCTGGGCTGTGGGCTCTATCCAGGAGCAGGGCCCCTGGGGAAACCTCCAACCCTGGTTTCTAAAGGCAAAGAGGCTCCACACCTGTTACTCAAATCTGGGCCTGGTGTGAGCCAGCTGAGACTCAGCAGGGTTGATCTAGATGGGGCCACACTGACCTGAACCAGGCTGGCTGCAGGTCCTGGATGGTCTGCAGAGGATGGGGAGGGCCAAGCAAGGCTAGACCATGTTCATTTTCCAAGGTGACAACTTTGAAGAAAGGTAGAGTGGGCAAACCCAACACACGGACATACCCCCTTGGGTTAGTGTCAGGATTCAGAAACTCTGCCCACAGCTGCTCTGTGCCCTGCAAAGACACAGTGGGCAGGATGGTCAGAGGTCCAGGCATTGCCCCACATGTCTGGGGCATCAGGATGATGGTTTCCTTTAGGGCAGCTCTGTGAATTTACATCTGGGCCCTTACAGCCTCTCAGGACAGAACTGGTACAAGGCTAGACCTTTTGGCTCCTGCTAATTCTCTTGATCAGACATGGTCTAAGCTTGTGGGCTTGAGGACCCAGAGAGCCTTCGGAAGAGAGGAGAACCTCAGCCAGGGTGGGGAGGTCACCTGAGAAGGACTTTGCTGCCGTCCCTTAGGAAGGGAGTAGAGAGGGATCCCTTATATTCCATGTTCACTTCCAGGGCAACCAAGAGCCAGGGCATCCATGTGTCATCCACTGTCCCCTGTTTCCTCTTGGAAACAGCCAGGCCTCAGAGCAGAGAAGCCACAGCATTGGGAAGAGTCTGAACATAGAAATCTAGGGTCTCTTTAGACAGAGAGGAGCACTTAGGCCGAGGGCAGGGGTGGGTTCTACTTGCTCTAGTTTTCTTACAGGTGTGACAGACAAGGACCTGCAACCAGTGAAAGCAATGTCAGATGTTGGGAAGGACTTTGTACCCAGGACACATATGGATTCTCCTGCTCTGAAGCTCTGGGGAAGATGGGTGGGGTCCCCCGGCCTGCCTCCTGTCCCTGAACAAGGAGCTCTGCAGACAGAGCAGAGGACACAGGCTTTAATGACTGGTGGTCTTCGAAGATGGAGCTAAATGGGGGGTTACTGGCAGAGTAGGGGTGAGCCGCCTGGCTGTCCTGGCTCCCACACACAGCTTTTAACCAACCTGCTCACTGGGCCCAGGCGCCTCTGGCTGAAAGGGGGCGGGCCGGCTGCGGTTTCTTCCAGACTTTGATTTATTGCCTAATGCAGGCAGAGAAGAAAGAGGAGGCTCATCCCTAAGCTGGAGCCTTAGGAACGGGATGTGAGCCTCACATCTTCTGAAGGCCCAGCAAACAGAGCCCTGCTCTCTAATCCGGCTACAGGTCTAAACCTGCCACTGGGCACAAATATGCCACCAAGCAGCTCGCCTGCACTGCACGTGGGTTCGAGGTGCCTCCTCCCCACCACCTCCTGCACCCTGGACAACTATAGGGAGTGAGACAGAGGGGCAGGGAGAACAGAGAGGCAGAGAGGAGGGAACCAAGGATACCAGGGAACACAGGAAGGTAGAATGGAAAATAATTACTCTGTGGTCTGGAGCCCTAGACGTCAGGGATATTAGAGACAAATGGAGAGAGGAGCTGGGGGACCAGAGATTCCAGAGAAGAAAAGTGTTTGGATACAGACTCACAATCACCTGGAACCAGGAAGCGCCAGAGGAAGGGCTGCTGTCAGCCCATGAACCACTTTGAGAAAACAGGAAAGAGATCTGTCTTTGGGTAGATACCATTTCAAACCCAGGCACAGAGCTGGGGTTCAGGCCTTCTCCCTTCAGCCAGATGCTTTTGTGCAGCCTGTGCAACTGTAGGGAGAGGAGCTGCAAGTAGAGTCAGGGCCAAACAGCAGAACTGGGAAGCAGCTCGTTTAGGGGAGCCGCAAGTGCTTATTCTGTTCCTTTGGGTCAGCTCCTCAAATGCTCATCTTCCCACACTGGTCCCTGGGATGGTGTGCCCTCCCTGGGATCTCCACCTGTCTTCAGACTCTGTGTCCGCTTCTTCCCATCTCCTCCCACCTTTACCTCTCTCGGAAAGACTTAACGAGGACAAGGTACATCGTGGATGGAGGTGGGAGGAGAGAGTGACCCCTTCTCGTCTCTACATTAGGCTGACAGCTCACTAGCAAGGAGAGAGAAGTGACAGAGCAGCAGGTCCTCTCCCAACCTCAAGCTCCTTTTGTTCATGAGAAGGCATGAAGGGGCTGGAGGAGGAAGCCATGTTTCTAAGGAGAAACGTGGAAAAAAAGGCACATGTGGAGCTGCTGTGTTCATACCTATAATCCCAGCACTTCAGAGTCTGAGACCAGAAGGGCTATCCTGAGCTAAGCAAAACCTTGTCTCAAAAAGGAAGGAAGGAAGGAAGGAAGGAAGGAAGGAAGGAAGGAAGGAAGGAAGGAAGGAAGGAAGGAAGAGCGGGAGGGAGGGAGGGAGGGAGGGAGGGAGGGAGGGAGGGAGGGAAGGAGGGAGGGAGGAAGAGAGAAAAAAGGAAAAAAAAAAAAACTAGATGGGTAGCTCCACTTACAAACCTAACCGGCAGAAGGCAGAGGCAAGGGGAATCACTACAAATTTGAGGGTGTCCTGGTCTACATATAGAGTTGCTGAGATTCGGATCAGCCAGATCTACACAGAATGACACTGTCTCAAAAATACAAAGACCAAAGAACAAAACCATCAAAGAACTGAAGGCTAGGAAGGTGGTGGGGAAGTATGAGCAAAGTATAATGACAAATATGAACGAAATGAATTCTGCTTTCCCTGTCAGCGTATGAGATATCTTGAGATATCTCCTTAGTAAGGACATTGAAATGATTTTAACACAGAGAAAAGTAAAAATAAAGTTCATTCTCTTGTATGTTAACTAAAAAATAAAAAATTAAAAGTACACGGTTTTAAAAGTTTTCAAGCTCTATAGCTGAGAATGACCTTGACTTTGAACTTCTTTCATGTGTGTGCATATGCCCGCCCATGGTTGTGCAGTTGCCCTTGTGTGATTTCATATGCACATAGAGACTAAAGTCAGCCTCAGGTGTCATTACTCAGGAGCAATCACTGTGCTGTTGTTGTTGTTATTTGTTAGTTTGTTGAGGCAGGGTTTCTCTGTGTAGCCCTGGATGTCCTGAAACTCCCTCTGTAGACCAGGCTGGCCTCAAACTCAGAGATCCTCCTGCCTCTATCTCCCAAGTGTTGGGATTAAAGGTGTGTGCCACCTCTTAGCATCTCTCTCTCTCTTTCTCTCTCTCTCTCTCTCTCTCTCTCTCTCTCTCTCTCTCTGCTTTTCTTTTTTCTTTCTTGGCTTTTTAAACAGGCTCTGGAGATTCCACTCAGGTCCTCATGCTCACCAAGTGCTTTATGGGAGCAATCTGGTCCTCTGGACTTCTTGCTCACCTTGAGTTCTGGGCTTACAGGCATGCACCACCATGCCTGGTGTCCACAGTGCTGGGGCCCTAACCTAGAGCCTCCTGTATGTTAAGCAAACACTCAGCCAACCGAACTCCATCCCCAGCCCTCAGAAATTAAAGCAAAGGACTGGTGAGGTGGCTCAGTGGGTAAAATCGCCCGCTGCCAGGCCTGACTGATGACCTGAGTTCTATCCCCAAGACCCACATGGAGAAGGAGAGAACCAACTCCTGAAAGTTGTCCTCTGGCCTCCAGATTCATGCCACACACACACACAAATAAATAATAAATGTAAGGAATGAAAATAAACCTCAACTGAGCCCTACAATGATCATCACTCATAAACAAGGTCGCTTCCTCCCTGAAGGACTGCCAGGCACTTTGGGTTCCTCTTAATCTTTGTTTACAAATCAGATGAGGGAAGCAAAGAAATGGAAATAATGAGTGAAATGAAAAGTGGAGATTAGGAAACACAGGGTCAAAGCAAGACTCTGGGAGTGACAAAACCCCTCTGATGGCTGTTCTCAGCACCACGTCTATGTGAAAGGGCTAGCCTCTACTTACAGAATTTTGAGACTGTGAAGGCCGGAGAATGCCTGTCTTGGGATGTGTGAGAGATGGTTCCCGGAGAGCCGCCTGTGAATCAGAGACAGAGGTCACTGGTGTTGCCTGGTAACCCATGAAGGGGGTGAGGTCCTGAATTGGGGGACAGGAGGGAGGGTGGTGGCCAAGCATGGCTTTTCCTGAGCTTTGCAGTTCCCTGTGCACCGCACACGCATCAGCTCCGCTTTCACGGTTAATCCAGGGAGGGGCAGGGTACCGTGAGTACCCGAATTCGAAGTGCTCGGAGCCAGGGGTGTTTGGTCTTCGGGTTCTTCAGATCTCCAAATATTTGCATCTAGATAATGAGCTGTCTTGGGGAATGGATCCAAGTTTAAACATAAATTCACTTGATTTTATTTGAGTTCACATTTATTTATTTGGTGTGTGTATGTGGGTGGGTGAGCCGTGACCCACATGTGCAAGTTGAATGACAGCCTAAGGTTCTCTCAAACATGGGTTGTGTGGCTTGCTGATAGGTGCCTTTTTCCCCTGAGCATCTTACATCCAGACCAAAATCTGGCTGCTTTAAAGACATGGAGCCTGAGGTGGTTTATGCAACAATGTACTGGGGGGGGGGGTCGCTGCTGAAGATGGAGGCCAGTACCTCAAGCATGCCGAGTTACTCCAGCCAACACTGAGCTACAACCTTTGACTCCTGCAATAATGTCAGTGAGCCTGGGCTCTGATTCAAACTTGTCACATAAAGCCGGTGCAGCCCTGCTCACTGTGCTAACCTACCAGCCCACAAAAAGTTTCAGAGCTTAAATTCAGGTGTGGTAGCACACACCTGTTATCCAAGTACTTGGAAACCCGAGGCAGCAAAATTATGAATACAAACCCAGCGTTGGCTACATCAAAGATTCTAGTCTAGCCTGGGCTATATACTGAGACCCTGTCTCAATAAATAAATAAATATTTCAGATTTTTGGATTGAGAATGCTCAACCTGTATTACCCCCAAAATTTCCGATAAGAAAAACTGAAGCTTGGTTCGTTTGTGTGTGTGTGTGTGTGTGTGTGTGTGTGTGTGTGTGTGTGTGTGTGTGTGAGTCTATTGCTGTTGTTTGAGATTTGTTGGTGCTGGCTTTAGACAGGGTCTCACTAGATAGTCCAGAATGACCTGGTGCTCACAACCCTCCTTGCCTCAGCCTCTGCTGTGCTAGAGATGGAGGCTTAGAAGCTAGTGTTTAAAATTGTTACCACGCTGACAGAGCCAGAGTGCTGAGGCGCTCGTCAGCCTCCAACCTGAGGGGAACCCCAGCTCTCTGCTCTTTCCTTGTCATTTGTTGCTTTACAAGGCGATACCTGGGATATCCACACTTGGGTCCTGTAATTGGGCCTCGGTGGCAGATCGCTCCTTTAGGTTCGGCCTTTAAAACCTGTCCAACCCCATCTCAGAAAACGAGAGACGGAAAGTTGAGCTTACTAAATGTCCTGGCCTTAGCTCTCCTTTACACTCCCATCCAAGCTGTGCCACCCCCATCTCCGAATGACCTCTGCTGCCTTTAAATCTGGCTTGTCTGCCCACCACAAGCCCCATCAACATGGAGCATTCCTTCCTGCAGGCCTTCATGTGAGGATGATAACAGTTGAAAGGTGAGCTCCAGGAAAGAGTGGGATCATGAGTAAAAACTAGGGCCTGGAGAGAGAGATGATTCAGCAGTTAAGAACACTTCCTGCTCTTCCAGAGGACCTGGGTTCAATCCCTAGCACCCACATGGCAGCTCACAACTATCTGCAACTTTCATTTCAAGGGATCTGATGCCTTCTTCCATCTCCTAGGACAACAGGTGTGCATGCTGTGCACAGACATGTATGAATCATAAACATAAAATTTTTAAAAAGTTAAAGAAGCAAAGGTATGCTGAGGATAGTGACTCATGCCTCAAATCCCAGCCCTCAGGAGGCTGAGGCAGGATAATAGCAAGTTCACGGCCAGTTTGAGATCCAGGCCACCCTGAGATCTATAGTGAGACCATAGCTGAAAAATAAAAATTAAAAATTAAAAAAATCAACTAAGGCAGGGAAGAGAGCAGCAGAGAGCTTTGTCTCAGAGCTCTGGTGTCCACACGGCTTGACCCTGGTACTCTGGGACTCACCTCTGTAGCAGGTCTCAGCTAAACACCTTCCCCAGCCCTGCCTTCTCACGCGCTTGCCACCTCCTCTGAAGAGCCCTGGTCCCTTCAGCTGTTGACCAGCGAGTCCACCCCTCTACCTTCCACCCCACCCACACTGCCACTGCTGCCCAACCATCAACTCACAGCTCCTCCAGGAAGCGCAGGTGGTGGAAAAGACCCGGCCGGAGCTCCGTGAGGTTGTTCATGCTGAGGTCTCTGTGAGGAGAGAGCGAACAGGAGGCTGTCAGCACCCACCTGCAGTGTCCACCTGTACCGTCTGTGATGCTCAGCTCCAGCCCTGTTTGGGGGACCCTATGGCCTCCCACTGTTCCTCTACCTTCCCACCATGCCATCCTGACCCCACAGGCAGTCTGGTAACAGCAGCCACGTGGAACTTGAGGAGCAAAAAACGGGGTCACTTTCTGATCTCCTCTCTCTGTCCCCTCTGCTTTTCATGCTTCCTTTGGCAGGTTCTCCCTGGACTAGCTATGGTTAGTCAGGAAACCCACCTCCCTGTCAAGAGAGGCGCTAAGGAGGTAGAGAAAGAAAGAATTTTAGAGCAGAAGGCAAGGTCCCTAGTGAAAACAGTCTTCACTCTGAGACCCAGGGTCACCACCCATGCAGCAGGCTCTGATGTCTTCCCCAGCCACACGTCTTGTCCTGCTCGGCAGTGGTGGGCTTCACTGCCTGCTGAAGTCACTACCCGCCCCCTTCTTCTGGCTCTGCTTCCCCAGGCCTCTGACTTTCTTGACATCTTGGTACTTCAAAGAGGGTGCCCACAAGTACCTGAGTATCTATCTGGATGTGCAGAGCTGGTCTCTGTGTGCATCCATCCTCTAAATCATTTGAAGTTGCCTATGTCATCCAAAAGAACGTGGGGGGTCGTGTTACTATCCCTAAGGTCGCTATAATTGCGTACTGAAGATCTACCTTAACACTAGGCACTGAATAGCCTTTATCCAAATAACCCCATTTGATCCTCACCATAATCCGAGGAGAGTTGCTATTTCACAGCCAGGAAAACAAAAAGGGGCCAGCAACAGGTCTCTGAGGATAAAGGGGCCTGCTGCCAAGGCTGATGGCCTAGGCTCATTCCCTGGAATGGTGGCAGGAGGGAAACAACTCCCAAACTTAGCTCTATGATCCCCAGACACTCCCCTCCCTCAATGCACATACAAATTTTTAAATTAAAATAACAAATAAATAAAAGGATTGAGTAGAGTTAGAGAGCCCACAAATCAACTTTATCCTCTGGTTAACCATCTTGACCACTATGACCCTTCATTTCCTCATGCGTTAAAAAGAAGGAGAAGGAGGATTAATAGGTTAGGTCTCTGTGAGGATTGAGTGAGCTAATGTTTACAGACTGCCTGGTAAACAGTACATAGTTAATAACTACTTGCCTTCTTCCCTCCACCTTCCCCTTGGTGTTTTATGTACAAGAGTCTCAGCTCCACAGACCTGGAAGCAAGTGGAGTGCCGATGGCTTGATTCATGAGTACTGCCCAATGTTAGCATGCTCATCTGTTTGTGCCTGAGTGAGCAGCCATGTCTGAGGTTACAGACACATGCCTGACACATTTGGGCTCCATCCTGTCTCACACTCCTACCAGCTGATTCTTGTCTCCGTGTGTTGCTCCCTTGGTGGACCATAGCTGCAGAGGTGGACCACACCACTGCCTAGGCCTTCCTGAAGCTTCCCTCTTTCCCCAGGAGAACAATTCACACGCAAACCTTCCAGCTTCCATGCTCCCCCAAACACATTTGCTCTCCATGCATGCTCAGAGAGACAGGCTGGGAGTGGTGGGGGCACGTGTGCCGGAGAGCCCAGCTCCAGTCTATAAAAAGACTGTTTAGTCTCAAACATTTTATCTTTGATAAAGCCTGGGCTCTGATTCCGTGTCTTCCAAGGAAGGAAGACATTCCATGCAGCATAAACCAAGAAAACTGGCATGCGCAACATGGACTGTTCTTGTTGGTATTTCCCTCCCGATGTCCTGTGGCAACAGAGGGGCCATCTGCAGTTCCTGTGGGTACTAGAATGGGCTTAGCAGAGGCTGCAGATGGCACAGTGGTCACTGTGAAGGCCAGTGGAACTAAGAGGTCTCCTTGGTCGATGTTAGCCTGGGTTCAACCCTCATGATGCCCCAGCTCTGAAGCAATGCTCACAGAGGCCCAGGTTATAATCCTGAGTCTACCTGGATTCCTCTCCCTTAAATCCCAGGCCTGGCTCATCCTCAGTAAGGTGCCACAAAAAAAAAAAAAAAAAAAAAATGATTACCTCTAAATATTTACCCTGCACATTTCTGGATGTGCCCTGACAGGCAGGGGAGCGGGAGTTCAAGGAGCATACAGGGCATGTGACTCAGATCTCATCACTCAGCTGTCCCCCCAGGGGCCGCTCTCAGAGGCTCTGATGCAGCTCCATACCCCCACCCACTCTTTTCCACCAAGGCCAGTGGCCTCATTGTTCTCCCAGGGAAGGAGGGGACTGCACCACTACCCACCCATTCCCCCCACACACATCCTGCCCCAGACAAGCACCTAGCCCAGGTGCTGTAGAGAGCAGCCAGGTGGGGCCAGAGGGTGGATTTCAAATGGTGTCTGGTGGGGGAGTCCCTTTCAGCCTAGCTCTCACAAAAGAGAAAGGGGTGAGGCTGGTGCCAGGAGAAGGGGAAGGCAAAGGAACAGGAGGATTCAAAGCCCAGGTCCTCCACACTGACGCCATAGGGCAGAGCGATGATGGCTTTGGGACCATGCAGGGAACTGAGGGAGTGACAGGCAGAAGCTCCCAGCACACAGGTTGCCCTATGGAGTCCGAAGCTCTGACCTGTGACTGTGGAGGAGACATCTGTGCAACCCAGAGGACACAGCTCTGACATTTCCGGCATGCCTGCACTTGTGGGAAATTCGAGGGCACCTGGATCCTTGGGTGCTTGAGGTTTGGTTGTGGCTGTGGTCTGTGTGATTCTGGGATACGTGAATGTCGTCTTTCAGAGCTTGCGCATTGCATTGGTGTGTTCTACTGGCGGCTACTTCTTCCATTCAGCAGTTTGCATGTTAGAGCTCTGGCTATTCAAAAGTTACAAAGTTTCCTGGGGCATCTCCCTATAAAGAAGGCAGAGACCCTTCGGGAGAAGAAAGTAGCTTCAGCTCAGGTCATCCCCTTAAGGTTGGGAAGACTTCCTTCGGCTGTGTGAGTTTGGACAAGCCTGACTCCTTCTCTTAGCCTCTGCTCACCCTCCAATCTGCTTCCCAGTCCAGGTAGTCTAGTGTCCAGGGATGCTGTTTGGGGATCTGGCTAATCTGTGGCTGGACTGGATGTTCAAGCCCAAATGCTGCTTTACCACTGTCATCCTATAAACATCATCCTATGAACACACGACCTTGCACAGTGTATGCACCACAAATCACAGGTACACCACACCCATGACCACCATTACATACCCACACATACCAAATACCCACCACACACACACACTATACACACACCACACACACACATCACCACACACAACACAGTGCACAAAAATATACATACCACACACATCACGTACTGCAGTACACACAGGACACACTATACACACACAGCACATACTACACAGACCACACATCATATACAGCATACCGCATCACCCAAACACTACATATCACACCACGTGCACACACATAGTATATACACCATGCCATACACACACATACACAAAACACATACATCAATCATACATGCTATACATGCCATACTCACATCATGTCACATATACATACATCTTAGCACCCACATGCTCATATACACAGCTCTCCAGGGCATAGGACCCCACACTCTGGAGAGCCCAGGCTTACTTCTCTGCTATTTCCGTTCTGACATTCTTCACGATTTTTGGACACTAAATCTTCGATTTGCATCGAGCCCACAGCTGCTGTCACTGACAGCCAAGGGCTTGTGGAGGCTGGCTCACAGTATCGCTCTGAAACTCTCTTCCCAGTAGGCCTTGGGATACCCAGAGGGGCCATGTGTCCCCTCAGCTGGACACAGCCTGGTGTGGTGGGAGGGTGTTGATGGAAGAGGCTGCAGAAGTGAAGGGTGTAACAATAAGAGAGGGTAGCCCTGGGCACAGGAAGTGGAAGTTTCTGGCTGCACATTAGGAAAATGTTCTCAGAGCTTTAGCCTGTGAGGCAACCAGACCACCCAAGGAAGCTGGGAGAGGCGGTGTCACCATGGAGACAGGGAACAGGTTTGATAAGAGAAAGGATGCTAGGAAACTGAGGGCCCCAGAGCAGCAAAACCATGCTGGAGGGGGTTGGGCACCTGGAGACGCTCCTCCAGGACCTGGCTGAGACCCAAGGACCCATGGAGACTGGTTTGTTTGAGTTTTCCCTGTGGAAGGAAAAGTCAGTGACAGACACGCTATGGCTTCTCCTGGGGTGGAGGTGAAAGGACACCCCCCACTGCAGAAGAGGCTAACAACACAGAGCCCTTTTTCTACCTCAGGCTAAGGACTCAAGCTGTCTGTCTCTACAGTTAATTGTGTTGGTTGTTTTTATTGTATATATTTAATATATATACAATATATTGTGTTGTATTTATTGTATATACTTCTTGTATACATTTATGGAGCTTGCTGATTTGATACATACTTTCATTACGAAATAAGGACCACAGTCAAACTAATTAACATTGCCTCTCCTCTATAGCCTTTTGGGGGGCTGGGGTGGGGAAAGGGGAGACTCTGTCCTTGGGAAAAGGGTCCTTCGGGTGGTGAGAACCCATCCCCTGCCATGGCTGCGTCCCATAGTTACCTCTTTAGAAGCAGAGCTGGGCCATGGGGGGGGGTCTCTGTGGGACTTTGTACGTAGTCACTCAATGAGCAACGTACTGAACACTTTAATTGCCTCAGCAGACTAACTGACCATGTGACCCCGGTCCTGTCACTTCCTGTCTCTAAGTCTTCATTCCCTCACCTGTTAAATGGGATAATAATAGTATTAATACTCACCTGACAAGAGTTGTAATGTGAAGTTATCATACACAATGAGTTAACAATAAGTAAAACAGTGCTTAATAAATATGCCTTTATTGATATCATAGTTATTTAGCTGAATTATAAATGTTAGTACATAATGACACATCTCATTACACACTTTTTTGTGTATTTTGATATGTGGTCACACTGGCACACAGTCTTGAACTGGCAATATCCCTGCCTCAAATCCTT